AGCTGTTTGCTGCTCAGTTCTGTTCCAGCTTACAAAATAAAGAGCTGCTTTGGAGAAATCGCTGTGTCGTCTGCCATGTCAACCCACAACTTAACAGTCACCTAATCTGCCAGTTTTCTCCTCCCCTCTTCCCCCCCCCCCCGTGCCTTTCGGCACTAGGGCAGGGACCAGAGCTTCAAAGATGCCGTTTTCACAAATCGCAGGACCTCATCTTAGCGCTGCTCCCCGATGCTCTGTGAATTCGGCTTTCTTTCTAAAGAAACCCTGGGCTCAGAACTTTAAAAAGTATTTAATAATATCTTAGAAGGGGGGAAAGCCCCAGACACTTTGGAAAAAGCACAAAAGGACCCTACAGAGGTGGGGTCTTACAGACCAATTAGCCTATTAAATCAAGACTATAAGATATTTACAAAGATCCTGGCAAGGCGACTGGAAAAGGTACTACCTAAAATAATTAAGGAAGATCAATATGGATTTATTAAGGGAAGATACATAGGCCATCCTATAAGAAATGTGTTAAACGTATTAACAAGCAGGCTAAAAGGAAAATTGGTGGTCTTAAAATTGGATGTGTATAAGGCCTTCCACACGATTAGACATAAATTCTTATGGAATATTATGCGGGACGTGGGATTAGGAGAGAACTTTGTGGAAGCAATCCAGGAATTGTATAGAGAAGGGAAGGCTGTGGTCAGAGTGAATGAGCGGGTTTCAGATCAATTCATCATACAAAGAGGAGTTAAACAAGATGTTCACTCTCACCACTACTATTGGTATTGGGTATGGAGTACTTGGCAGACAGAATACGAAACTCAGTAAGGATAAAAGGATATAAGAAAGGAAAGGAAGAAATCAAGTTAAACATGTATGCAGATGATATCCTATTATTATTTACAAACCCCTTAGAGGGTGTAAGAGAATTTATGATAATCCTGAAGGGTTTTAAAGAGGAGTTGGGATTGGGAGTAAATTTGGAGAAGTCTGAAATTTTATTTTGGGATGTAAATAAAGAGGAGAAGAAGGAAATTGCAAAAATGACAAAGATGGATATCAATAGGGGGGAAATTAAATACTTGGGGGTAAATATTATTAAAAATATTGCTAGGATTTCAGATGTAAATTACAAAGAAGCATGGAGGAAGATCAAGAAGGACATAAAATCATGGAAAAGTAAGAATTTATCTATTCTAGGTAGGATTAGAGCAGTTAAAATGTTTCTGGTACCAAAATTATTATATTTATTTCAAGTAATTACACTACCCATTAGGAAAATATGGTTCAAAACATGGAATAAGGTATTTAAAAATTGGATTTTTGGAAGTAAAAGAGTTAGAACCCCAGACATAGTAAATTATTCATCTCAAGAAGAGATGGGATGGGGAATACCGAACTTAGAATTTTACTATGAAACATTCCAATTGAAAAATCTAATAGATATTGGATATAAGGATGGGATTAAATGGATAAGGCTGGAGAATGAAATAAATGAAGGAATAGGAAGAGAAGGGATATTTAATAGAGATATTAATACGGCTTTTAAGAAGACAATAGGACCAAGGAAAACTGCATTAGGAATCTGGAAGAATTGGAATACGAAATAGATGCCAACATACTCCAGGTGGACGCCGTTAAAATATATGCAGGAGGGTCAAAGGGAACCGGGATGGACTTCCGGGTTAGCGCCATCGGCAATGGCGGAGTTCCTCTGACCGGGAGGAACCCGCTCCGTGAAAATCGGGTCTTGCCGCCGTGGCGAAGGCAGAGACCCTTTAAAAATCCCAGGCGGAGGAAGCCTGGGAACGTGGGATTCGGCTGACACCAGGAGTGCCTCCCCTACTCGCGGGGAAACCCTTTTTCGGGGATCCGAAGCGACGTGGGGTGAGTGGCGCGGTGTTTTGAATCGACTGCTACTTTTACGGAGTGAAGCTGCACAGCCGTTGCCGGAGAGCGCTGACTTTTTCCTGTGGACAATTGGACTCTAAACAAGTACCCGTGAGTAAAACAGAAAATTGGATTAAGAAACATTTAATTTGGCACTGAAGCAGGAAGGTTCTAAACAGGAAGTCCGCCTCCCGCTTTTTGTAAATAGACTGAAGCAAAAATTTGCAAGCTAAAGTCTGGAAAGCTGCATAGGGAAGGGAAAAAAGTAAACCGGATGGTATTTTGAATTGATTTTGTTATGTAAGCCTTTTTTCAGAAACCATATATATTAATGTTATGTAGTTATGCATTGCCTGTTGTCTTTGTCCATGGAGTTTTTTTGGCAGGGATACTGGAGTGGCTTGCCGGTTCCTCCTCCAGGTGGATCACATTTGGTCAAAACTTTCCACTATGACCTGTTCATCTTGGGTGCCCTGCTCGGCATAGTTCATAGCTTCTCTGAGTTATTCAAGTCCCTTCGCCACGGCAAGGCAGTGATCCATGAAGGGATTATTTGAATTATGGTGCTGGAGGAGACTCTTGAGAGTCCCATGGACTGCAAGAAGATCCAACCGATCCATTCTGAAGGAAATCAGCCCTGAGTGCTCACTGGAAGGACAGATCCTGAAGCTGAGGCTCCAATACTTTGGCTACCTCATGAGAAGAGAAGACTCCATGGAAAAAACCCTGATGTTGGGAAAGATGGAGGGCACAAGGAGAAGGGGACGACGGAGGACGAGATGGCTGGACAGTGTTCTCGAAGCTACCAGCATGAGTTTGACCAAACTGAGGGAGGCAGTGGAAGACAGGAGCGCCTGGCGTGCTCTGGTCCAGGGGGTCACGAAGAGGTGGACACGACAAAACGACTAAACAACAACAAGAGTTATGCATTGTAGTATAAATGAATTCTGTTTTGTATACTTTGTTTTATAGAATATATATAATAATGTTATGTTACTAAGCAAATTTAATAAAACAGTAAAAGGGGGGGGAGAGAACACCCTGTCTAGATGCGGAAACCGACAGGCAGGGAGGGTGTGTTGCTTTTCTTGCTGGCCATTTCCTTCTTTTGTTTGAGGGACCTTTCAATGCAAAACAGGATACTTGGCAAACAGTAAGAACATAAGAACATATTGTTACCGGAAAAATCCGAGGGCTCTCTTGGACAAAAACAAAGACACCAACCAGGATAACGTGGAGCAAAACAGCAGCCTGTAGGCTTGGCCTTTATTGAACTGTTGCAACAGGGTGTCCCCTCACTTGCAAGAGAGAGGAAAGACCCAGAAAGATGGTGTGCAAGACCTTATAAAAACTTTTGAAATTCCCATCCTCTAGGTCAAGCCCACCCCCAGAAACATCATGCATACATTACAGAAAGGAGGGGTTGAGGGAGGAGTTGTGGTGGTAACCTGAGTGTCCTGTCACCTGGCTGGTTCGTCCTTTCCCCCCTGCCCATGAGTCACTTCCAGGAGACAAAGGGGAGTTGGCAGTTTCCTGCCCCCAGAGGGAAGATCTGATCATTGTCCTTTGTTTCAGTCCCTGCTGAATCCACTCCCATATGCAAGTTCTTTGTGATCTTGATGGTCTTCTGTCTAGGACCATCAGGGTTGGCATAGCAACTGGGCAGGGCTCCTGTGGATGTGCTGGGATGGTGAAGGGATTATGGCTGACCAGAACCAAGCCACCCCCCTTTGATAGTCCTTGTCATATGGAGTAAAATAAAAATGGAACAGTGCAAATCCGATGTATGGTTGATTTTTCTATGAATTTATAACAGAAGTGTGGCATATGTAGTGTGTGAGTGTGAGTGTGTGAAGTTTGTACAAACTGAATGATTGGGGTGGGGGGTTCCTGCTACAATATGAAGAGCCCTTCTGGATCTGGCCAGCCGCCCATCGAATCACAGACTCATAGAACTGAAGAGTTGGTAGGGACCCCCAGGATCATCCAGTCCAACCCCCCACAATGCAGCTGTCCCACACGGGGATTGAACCTGCAACCTTGGCATTATCAGCACCACGCTCTAACCAACAGAGCTCTCCAGTCCAGTCTCCTGTTTTCACAGTGGCCAGCCAGATGCTCCCAAGTTCAAGAACAACTTTCCCCTTCTGTAGTTTCCAGCAACTGGAGTTCATAATTATATATTATTATTATTATTATTATTATTATTATTATTATTTATACCCCGCCCTCCCCAGCCAAGGCCGGGCTCAGAGCGGCTTACAAGCAATAATAAAAACAAGTTAAATGATTACAACTTAAACAAAATTTTAAAATACAACATTAAACTATTGAAACATTAAAATATTAAAATGTAGCCTCATCGCAGAAGGAGAAGGAAAAGAAAAAAGAAAGAGAGGGAGGGAATCAAATTGGCTCCAAGCCAAAGGCCAGGCGGAACAACTCTGTCTTACAGGTCCTGCGGAAAGAAATCAGATCCTGCAGGGCCCTGGTCTCATGAGGCAGAGCGTTCCACCAGGCCGGAGCCAGTGCTGAAAAGGCCCTGGCTCTGGTTGAGGCTAATCTGACTTCCTTAGGGCCCAGGACCTCTGGGGTGTTGCTATTTATGGACCTTGAGGCTCTCCGTGGGGCATACCAGGAGACGCGGTCCCGTAGGTACGAGGGTCCTAGGCCGTGAAGGGCTTTAAAGGTCAAAAGCAGCACCTTAAATCTGATCCTGTACTCCGCCGGGAGCCAGTGCAGCTTGAAAAGCACTTGGTGAATATGCTCCCATGGCAGAGACCCCATGAGGAGTCTCGCTGCAGCATTCTGCACCCGCTGGAGTTTCTGGGACAGCTTCAAGGGCAGCCCCGCGTAAAGCGAATTACAGTAGTCAAGCCTGGAGATGACCGTCGCACGGATCACTGTGGCCAGGTCAGGGCGGGAAAGGTAAGGGACCAACTGCTTGATGCGGCGAAGGTGGAAAAATGTCGCCTTGGCTGTTGCTGTAACTTGCGCCTCCATGGAAAGGGAGGCGTCAAGGATTACACCCAAACTCTTAACGGAAGGCAATGGCACTAATTGGGCCCCCGCAAGAGAAGGGAGTTGGTCCCTCATCCCCATGCCATCCCGACCCAGCCAATATGAAGGGAAGTGGAAAGGGAAATTCATGAAGAGAAGAGAAGGAAGAAAGAAAGAAGAGGAGTCTGACTCAATATGCAACATACTGCAACGCATCTAGTGAGAATGATTCAATTAAACACCAGGACATTTTCACTCTCAGCAGGGATGTGCTGAAATGCCTCCGTCTGTCCTGATTTACACTTGTACTTTCAGCCACTGCAATTGCTTTAATTTTGCATAAATCAGCATTCCACTTTGTCGTCTACTTATGTGGAAATGCATATAGTTCTACGTAGTTTGTCATAGCACACAATAGAAACGCGATTGATCAACATGTATTTACTTTTTAAAAATATATTTTTATTAGACAATTTCAACAAAACAAATTATCAATCCAAATAATCAATTACATTATCTCCCCCCTTTTTATCCCCCCTCCCCATCCCGCCCTCTCCCCCCCACCAAGGACTTCCCTCAGCTCCCCTCTCTGATTTGTTTGCACATATTATTCTCTGCATGTTAAAAATTGTACATATCACTACCTTATCTATCATATATTCTATTAATAAATTTGTGGATGTTTATTCAAAACCTGCCAAGGAGTCCAAGTCATTTTGGTTTTTAAAAAAAATAGTTGATAAAAAGTTCCCAATCTTCCTTGAAGTCACGATTGTCCTTCTCACGGAGTTTATGTGTCAACTTTGCCAACTCTGCTTAACTCATCAGTTTTTCTTGCCACTGTTCTTTCGTTGGGATTTCCTCCTTCTTCCATCCTTGTGCTAACAAGACTCTTGCCGCTGTTGTGGCTTCCATAAATAAATTCTTTGTTTTCCTTGGCAGGTCTCGTCCTAAAATCCCTAACAAAAATGCTTCTGATTTCTTTACAAATGTCATTTTAAACATTTTTTTCAATTCATTATATATCATTTCCCAATTTTTAAAAACTTCTCTACATTCCCACCACATATGATACATAGTACCTTCTTTTTCTTTACATTTCCAACATATATTTGACCCGGTTTTGTACATTTTTGTTATTTGTACTGGTGTGGAGTGAATTTCAAATCCACTTTCCACAGCTTTTCCCAATCCTCAAATTGTATATTGTGTCCTATATCTTGTGCCCATTTGATCATAACTGATTTGACCTCCTCATCTTTTGTTTCCCATTCTAGCAGAATACTATATGCTTTCTTCGCATCTTTTTCTATAACCACCTTTTGAAATCTAGAGATTGTATAACTAAACCCTTTTTTATTATCTTCCTTATACATCTCATGTAATTGTCTGTAATGCAGCCAACTCTAAAAATGGTCTTTAATTTCCTCATAATCTTTTAATTTCCATTTTCCTTCTCTATATGTAGGCCACTTCCCCTTTTTACCAAGCATTGTGGTTGGTAAAATTACCTTGGAAATTACCCTAGGGGCTGATGGGTGAACTGGGGTTTACTGGTATTTTGAAATATATGGTGGGAGCCATATATTCATGTCCTATTTGGTGGTAACAGCAGTGACAGAAGATGGTTTTGCTACAAACTGTTGGTACTAAATTTGAATATTTTCCATTCATCAAGCTGCATGAATTCTCTAGTTGCTCAGATATTAGAATGTGATTCTAAGATTGGTTCCCTTCACATGCATCTCAGCTGTTCCAGAAACTCCTCCCTGGAAGAGGCAGAGAGGCAAAGAACTGTCCATCCCATAATGACTCCAAGGTCGCTTCCAGCAATGTTAGAAACTGATAAATGAAAGCTAGGAACTCAATGGCACCTTAAACCGAGGTTATGGGAGCAACAACGGAATGTCTAGGTGCGCTTTTTTAATAACAAGAATACAAAGCTGAAAAGGAATAGATTGCAGCTAAAATATTATCTTCATTTTTCACATGGTCTAGTCCTTCCCCTGCCCACCCCCCTAATATTCGTAAGAGGGTCTCTTCTTCAGAGAGTAGCTGGAAGTCGGGAGGCAGAAAAAGGTCCTCCTTTCCTTCCGCTCTGCAGTTTTAATCTGAAATCAGTACTGCGCCCAGAGGCCAGAAACTGCTCGCTGTTTGAATGAAGTGTCGCAAAATGTGAGTTTCAAACACCGGCTCACTGTCCAAGCATTCTGTCTGACCTGCTTGCAGGAAAGTGCGAGTTGCGTGACAACAGGGCGTCAGAGACAAGCCCATACTCCACACTTCGCAGGGGCATTTCTCCTCCAGAAGTCGGATCTTTCAGGCTCACCTTGAGGGGGGCTGGGAAACGGCCCCTTTCCATGAATGAGCTGCCCACCCACAATGAATTTTGCGTGTGCCAGAAGAGGGCCGGATTGAGGTTTGATGAGGCCCTCAGCTGATGAAGGTAATGGGACCCTTTCTATGTCCAGCTGTCCTTTGTCAACAACAAATGGTCACTGTTTTGTGTTTAATATATGCTATATGGTAATTCATGGACCTCATAGGTATCTAAAGCCATTTGCACATAACAAAATACGTGGGGGGTTTTCAAAGTAATTGTTGAACTGAAATACAATTAAGAAGTATATTAGCAGTGAAACACAATTAAGAACTATTTTAATAGTGAAATAATTATTAAGCTCTAACTTAAAATGATTTATTCATAATGAACTTAATAATGCAAACACATTGGCATTTGGCAATAAAAAAAGTTCCTTTAGAAACACCATTTACAAAGACTCATCATCTAGTCTCCAGAAACTTGCTATAACATGAAATAATAATAGGTGTAAATATATGATGCAAACTACTATTAATTAAATAGCAGGATGTAGGCACCCTATATATAGAAAGGAGCAAACGAGTGATATTTGAGGGAGCAGGCGAGCAGGCGGGGCCCAAGACTTACATCATAGGAGTCTGCACAACACAAAATGCTGTTGCTGTATGTAGGTTTTATTTGATTTGTTTTTTATCTTATATTTTGGAAATGTACATCCAGGGGGGGTTTTCCCTTTAAGTTTTTGCCCCCCCCCCCCCAAGAGAGTGGGGCCCTGAGCTCTGGCTTGTTGAGCTTATACCTCAATCCGGCACTGTGCCAGAATCTCTCAGCCTTGAAGGTGGATGGGCGCACATCGCCCTCCTGATTCCTTGGCCAGAGGTGAGACCCGGGGAGACCGGGCGTGGGGAGCGCCTTGCGCTGTCCCCGTTCAGCTTGCAAGAGGGAAGGGGGATCGGGGCCCATGGGCGATGCCAAGTCCATCCGTCCGAGGTCCCTCCTCCTAGCACGAAGCCTGCCCAGGGCAGCAGGAGTCCTCACGCCCAGCCCGCGCTGTCCTCTTGCGCGAGTCTCCCCGCGTGATGCGCGAGGACCGGGAGACAAAGCGGGGATTGTGGGGCCTGGAGAGCCGCTGCCGAGCCCCCCTCCACCCCTCCCCGCCCGCCCAGCTGGTGCGCAAAAGCTCCGCCCGGGTGGATGGAAACGAAACCGAAGGTGCCCTCGCTGTTGCGCCCCGCGTTTGCGTCTGCCTCCCGCGGCCCCGAAAGGAACTGCGCGTCGCTCACTTTCTCCTTCGTTTCTTTTTTGGGCTCCAAAACCTCGTGGTTGAGATTCCGGGACGCTGCTCCCGAGGAAACCCATAGAGGTGGCTCCGCTCCCATATTTGGGGTCCAGAGTGCAGCGCGACTCTCACGTGAATAAATCGGAGTGAGGGGAGGTTGTGGGGAGGGCGATTTTGGCGTGTTAGCTAGGCAGCTGATTGCCGGAATGGCGCTCTGTGCCTTAATCCAATCTATCCTGATGGACGTCTTCTTTTTTCATGCATTTCTTATTTATTGATTGACTAGTTTTATATATATAAATAAAATAAATCACTTGAATAACATGCAAGAACCTAGGAGCCAAGTCCTAGGGGCTGAGGTCCTTCGTCCCCCCAATAAAATATTTTAGGGGGCAGTTTATGGGCACTGCCATTCAAATGTCGTGTGGTCAATTAGGTGGGGCGGGGGTTACCTGGATGCCCAAATATGTTATTCAAGTTGGCACCCTTGTAGAAGAAGAAAGATAGCACAACTGAATTAAAATATAAATTAAAGCATATGCATAAAAGAAAAGTGGTGGCAGTAATGGCAGTGGCCTGCTGTACTTTGGATTGTTCTGATTACCACCATTTGGTTGCCAAACCCCAAACCCAAAGTCTCATTTGGGTGCATTTTGGCTCGCCTGCTGCAGAAAGTGACCATGAGACAACTGATAATATCATCATTTGTCAGTTTTAGACTCTTAAATAGTAGGAGTTGCCAGGAAATTGTCCTGTTCACCTCTGCGTAGTTCCATCTTTCAGATATCACGATATATTAATATATTGCGATGTTCATATCACAATATTGAAAACTAGTTATCGCCCAGCCCTACCTGTCGCCTTTGCGCTGGAGAAGTGGTGCCAATAGAGGGGCAGCGCCATCTCAGACAACATTCTGCCCGTTGCCAAAGAGATCTCGCCCAAAATTGTGTGAGATCTCTCAGACCGTGCCAAAGCTCATGCAGTGCTAACAATACCTTGTATGGAGCACAGCGCTAACAATACCTTATATGGAAATGTTTGCAATACAACTACTAGGAGCATTGTATGGAAGCAATAGGAAACTGCATTAGCAAAGGTAAAGAGGCATGTCTTCAGGATTAGGCAGGAATCCTTCAACGCAGCTGATTTGCAGAGGTCATTGCCTCTCAACCCTAGAGCGCAATGTTGCTTTGCTGATCAAAATGAGAAAAACCTTGTGCGCCACCTCTGTCTCCTTGAGGGAAAGGCAGTAACAAGGGTAAACTTTTTTTAAAAAATGAACTACCGGTAAATATTTTTTTTGCCTATTCTACCTATTGACAAATTCTTATTTCCTCCCCTCCCCCCACAGCAGCATATATTCTCATAAAGTAATCAAGCTCAGGTGGTTCTGGATGTAAGGGATGCTGAAGCCACACTTTCCCACTTCCTCAGATGCAGAATGTTGCAGAAAATGCCCAGGAGATCAGCATCCAAACAAGGACAGAAAAGTTTGGTGACACAGCATTGTTCTCATAGCTCCCACCTGAAACAAGAACCACAACATGAGTCATTCATGTATTATTATCCTTCATTCTCCAAAAGGGGTCATCCACCACCCCCCGTCTCTCTCTCAGCATTATTGCACCCCACGAACACATTCCACACCATGAGAAGTATGTGAGGAGGCTGCAGAGCTGAGCCAGTGAGGAGTGGAGCCCAGGAGGCAAAGGGCTGTGGCCAAGAGAGAGTCCTGAGGCATCTTCCTTCAGCTCCTGGGCCTGAGGTTCCCCATCCCAGATATAGGGTACCGTTAGCTTTCTTTGCCTCTGCTTTGTAACTATAATTTTAACTCTGCTATTTGATGCTGCTTTTACTTCATTATATTAGGGGTTGACATCCAACATCAGACATATCCAGAGTGGGAGCAATGAAATAAATTGACTTAAATCTACTGATATCAATAGGTCTACTCTATGACTAATGACAGTTATCCCTCTTCCATTCTTGGAAGGAAGGAAGGAAGGAAGGAAAGAAAGAAACTTGGCTATTCTCTGATCCCAGGAGTAATTCCTTGGGTTCTTACCACTTGCATATGCACAGTTGTATTTGCTGAATTTCCCAGCAGAGCGGAGCTGTATGCGGGTTGTACCATCCACATCCTTCCTGGAACTTACAACCCTGAACTGCTCATAAGGTGGGATCAGAACCTCATCCTCATTGGGGAAGGAAGAAAATTCTCTGATGAGAACCCCGTGACAAGTGTAAATCTCAAAGATGGTTTTGGCCACAGGCTGTCCAACTCTCCATTCAGGATCTGCAGCGAAACCATGGGCAATCCCCTCTTGCCGTGATGAGGACGTGAATTGCCCGAAACGGATCGTATCCTTAATGGTAGCACTGAAGTGGATATTTCTGACCCCTCGAAACACCTCATAGCAGGGGGGGCTGGGGGTGTTGGAGGTCCTCAGGTCCTGAAGGGCTCTGGTCAGGAGAAAGTGGAAGGTCTTGAAGTTGAAATTATTCAGGTAATATTCCTTGGATTTCCCAGCTTTTCTTACAGCTGCGTTGAAATCAGGATACAACTTGGGTTCTTCAAGGGTATAAGCCATGATTGCTGCAGCGTACTCTGGCTTGAGGTTTCCGGGCCATTTGCTATCATCCCTCAGGTTGGCTGCTAATTTCCAGGCTTTGGCATAAATTTTGTTTTTGAGGAGCTCGGTTTGGTTTAGCCATGCAATCTCCTTCTCCATCGTCTGTTCACAGCCCTCGTATTGGTCATCGAAGGAATCCAGGGCCATGTCAAGTGTTGGCTCGTTGCCTGAAAAACGGTCTTGTCTTGGGCTGGAGCTATGGGAGACCTCAAGCAGAAAAGAAGAAGATGGGTAAGCAGCTTAGCATGCAAAGAGGCTGGGAAGGTGAGACTTTGCGATAGAGGCTCCTATCACAGGTCAAGTTACACAGCATCCCTGACAAGCGGCCATCCAACCTCTGCTATGAAACCTCCAAAAAAGGAGTGTCCTTTAATCTGTTTCTACTCTATTTTTGAAAGTTTTAAACTCCAGATTTAAGATTGAATTCTGGACTGAAGCCCACCTTTGCCCCCTCCTCCACACTCCAAGGTGCCTTTTCATACCTGATTGTCTCCTGTGAAGATTCCCATCAGATGCAACACCAGGACTCTGTGGAGAGGGGACTTCATTGTCCACGCCCGTTCGTTTTTGAGGTGAAGCAAGTTAAGTGCAGGCAGAGCGGATATCTCTATCTGCACGCTCGCTTCCATTTGAAACTTACTTGCAGCTTTATGTGTTTTTTCTCACAGAAACAGGAAACAGGCGGATTTGAGGTTTCATGGGCGGAGAGGAGGCGGGGGAAGCTCCTTTCCTCAATGTTCAACTAAGTTCATTCTAGCAAAAACATACCCAATGATAGGTCTTGTTTTCACAGAGATTCCTCCAGTAACAGGAAGAGGGAGAGGCTTGTTTCTCTACATCCTTCCCCTCAACACCATCAAAGAGCATTTCAATCTGCACTTCTGGTTTGTTACTCAGCCACATTAGAGGGGCGACTATTAGTATACAAAGCCCTCCATAGCTTGGGATCAGTTTACTTGAAGGAGTGGCCTGCCTGACTCCCATCTCCGGAACTGGGACTTTTCACAAGAGCAGCGCCGTCTTTCCCATTGGGCTTAGTGGCTCATTGCGCCAGGGCACCGGCCTCTCAGGGGCGCCCCAGCAAGTGGGGGAGCTGCGCGGCTTTGCCTGCCCTTTCCCTGCACGCCTGCCAGCTGTGCCCATCAACCATAGGGCTGGTGAGCGTGCAGCTTCCTTCCCAAGCCTCCTCGGGAGGAGAGCGATCCCTGCAGAGGATTGGGAAAAGGGCGACAGCTCTGGGGAAGGGGCGGGGAGGGATCTTTGCCCCACGGCACCAGATATGCCTAAGACGGCCCTGCACAAGGGCCGCATAATCTCCGTCCTTCATTGGGCAGGCTTCTTTTAAACGTTGCTTAAACTTCCTTTCCACAGGCAAGCCTACAGAGACATGGAATTTCATTGGGTACATTGCTTTTAAAAAGCTATTGGTTTGTAGATATATCTCAATAATTCAGATATGTTTAATGTTTTTAAAGTCTGTTTTCATCAGTATTTTAAATTATATAGGTGTGTGCGTATCTTGCTAAATAAGAATAAATAAATACATGACACCCCACTGCACTGTACTGTATTCCATAGCTTAGGTTGGGGTTACGGGTGGGCAAATTTTGGTTTATCTTCGTTTCTCATTTTTCGATTCTCAAGTCCAGTCCTCCACATTTCCACATCAATTTGTGAGTATATATTTGTTTCAAGTCCTGCTGAAAATTCACCCCATCTTAGTTCAACTTACTCCTAATATACATAGATTTATATGAAAGTTTGTCTAACACGTACAAGCTTGCAAAGCAATTTCTCCTAAAATAATGCATTTCTCTATTCCATTTTTGACAATACAGTGGTACCTTGGTTCTCAAACTTAATCTGCTCCGAAATCCATTCCAAAACCAAAGCGTTCCAAAACCAAGACACTCTTTCCCATAGGAAGTAATGCAAAAAGGATTAATTCATTCCAGACTTTTAAAAACAACCCCTAAAACAGCAATTTAACATGAATTTTACTCTCTAACAAGACCATTGATCCATAAAATGAAAGCAATAATCAATGTATTGTACTATTAAAATGTATAAGACAGTATTGTAGATGATAAAAAAAAATTAAAACATTTCTTACCTGCACTGATGATAGTCATTGTTTGAATGGGGGGCTTTTATCCATTTCCGCAGTCACACAATAAATCAATCAATCAGTAGTTGAACTGGGTTCCACACAGTCACAAAAACAAATTAACTGAAAAAGCCTCAAAAACAAAAACGCAAAATAAATAGCCAAAACAAAAGTGCCAAATACAGTGGTACCTTGGTTCTCGAACTTAATCTGTTCTGGAAGTCCATTTGACTTCTGAAATGTTCAAAAACCAGGATGTGGCTTTTGGTTGGTGCAGGTGCCCCGGAAACAATATCCAACAGCTGCGTCAGACATTCGGCTTCCAAAAAAACACTTCCAGGTTTTTGGTGTTTGGGAACCAAGGCATTTGAAAACCAAGTTACCACTGTATAAACTTTTATATGCACTATTTGCCCTGTCATGTGCATTTTTACGCACATTATTTGGCTAGAGGACTGGGTTACAAAATCCAATGAAGTGAGAATTCCAAAGATGGCTGTCTTTTGGTTTTCGCGCTGTTTGAGAAAGTGTGAATTAGGTTGGTTCACCTTTAAATGTGAGGGGAAAACACCTAGCTGGGTACCCCCTGCTCCATCTGCGACCTCAAGTGCCCATCTAGCTACACTGAGGAATGATCCAATTGCAAGCGGAGATTGGAATATCCCTGAAGAGAGAAATCTTATCTTCTCCTATGGAAAACTCCCTTCAGAAGAACAGCAGGCTATTCTCGATAGATTGGATCTACTCAAACAAAGACTCCTATCGCAAGGGGACCCCTCTATGCCGATGAGAGAGGAGAGCAGGCACTCCACGTCCCACAAGGCGTCTCCATCAAATGCCCTGATAATCTCTCAACCTGCTACTTTGTTACCCCTACTGATCTGAATCAGCAATCACCTGTTGACCAACAGCTCCAACAGCACCATTCTACCGTGGAGGAAGTTGATAAACTCAATACTCCCGTCTTAGACTTTATGTCCAATCAAAATATGGAAGTTGACGATTCCTTTGCCTCAATGCCTGAGCTAGAATCTACCCTGTCTGAAGATCACCAGGAAATGACTATGCATGTACCATCTCCGCGTTCACGTCCTTCTATACATCTGCGTGATAATTCTTCTCCAGCTGCGCAGCAACTACAAGTGATGACTGGAACACCTCCTAGTGCTACCCTGGTTAAGATTGATAACTCTGATGGATCTACTAGTATAGCCCATCAAAGACTTGCTACTACTCACCTCAATGAACAGCATCCGACCTCACCAACTTTGCCTAATTCTTCCTCCCCGGCAAAGCCCTTCCTGCCTGTTAATGCTACCAAATCACGGATTCAATCAACACAGAAGAAGACTTTATCCGCACAAACTAAAATTACTGATTTCCTTACGGGTCCTCGCTCTACCTCCAAGAACCCATTAAACAACTCAAAGTGACAATTACCGGGACAGCACAAGGACCCGACATTATCAATACTTAGCTGGAACATTGCTGGTTGGAGAACCAAAAATCAGACCCCGAATTCAGGAAGTACATAAATTCATTTAACATCATCCTATTCCAAGAAACATGGGATGAGGAAGAGATTACCATAGACGGTTTTGATCTTCTAACACTTCCGGCCCCCCTTCCTTGAAAGGTGGTCGCCCCAAAGGGGGTCTTTTGATTGGGATCTCACTCCAACTTCGCGCCAAATTCACCCTGGTACGGGCTTCCCCGCCTTTTGCTCTTTCTGGACTGATCGCAGAAGGGAAGTCCTCATTACTAATTACTAATGGTTATCTCCCCCGAAGGCTCAGCACCTGATCTTGATTGGAGATGGGAATCATTTGAAAATCACCTATTGTCATGTCATACCAAATGCCCTAACTCGTACTCCTTAATTGGGGGAGACTTTAATGCTCGAATTGCCACAAATTGGGACCTACTAATCAAGTCCAAATGGTGGACTCCCCATGTTTGGGCAACTTTGACTTGGAACATGCTAGAATTAGAACTTCAAAGGACAACAGAGTAAACAAAGCTGGAGTGACCCTTTACCAAATGGCCATTCGCCTGAATCTAGTATTCTTGAACGGCACCTTCCCCCCCGATATACCGGGGAGTTCACTCACCTGGGACCAGCATCTAACAGTGTTATCGATTACCTCTTGATCTCCGCAAATTTGGCCGTCAATGTACTCTCCTTCCAGGTTGAAAACCAACATTTCAGTGATCACCTCCCAATAGTGACCACTTTGTCATTGTTCCGGTACCAGAAGGACTATAAACACTCAGTCCCTCTGGAAACCTCATCAGCGACCAAAATAAGTGGGATCAAATGGTCGGAGGCTGTGGCCCAAAAATACCAGGATTTTTTCCATAGGGAAATCACTGCCTATCTACCTCAAATAGCTACTGATTTACAAGATTCCAATTCGGTTTTGAAATTTTTAACCTTCTTACAACAAACCTTACCACTTTTTTACATTACCTCCTCAAAAGGCGAAAGTAGCGCATTGCAGTGCTGGGGCCCCTTGGTTTAATACCTCTTGCAAACAAGCAAGATCCCTTCTTCGTTCCATCTATAATGAATACAAAAACTCTAATGCCCAGGCTCTACCATCCTCCTATTTACAAGCCAAAAGAGCATACAAACAGACTTTAAAGCTGGCCAAACGTGAGTGGTATCTAAAGCGTTGGCGAGCCTTGATTGCGGCCTCTAGATCCCGCAGACCACAGGAATTTTGGGCTTTGATAAACAAAAGAGGAAGGAAGTACCCACTGACGATTATCCCTGCGCCCACATGGGAACAATTCTTGAGCAAATATTTCTCCTTGGCAGAGGAATCCAACTCATCCACTGAATTCCGAGCCGACCATCTACCTTTGTGGCCCTCTACCGACCCAGACCTGATAATGGACTTGATATTAGATCTGAAAACGGGCAAAGCCCCCGGGCTGGATCTAGTCCCTGCTGAGGCTATTGTTGCGCAACCGAGGTGGTGGGCTGAAATCCTGGCCAAAGTCTTTGATGCAATTAATTCTACGGGGCTTATCCCTAGGTCATGGAAGGAGGCCGTGATCGTGCCAGTCCATAAAAAGGGTCCCCCTGCTGACCCGGAGAACTATCGGAACATCAGCCTTTTGTCTATCATCGGGAAAATCTATGCAAAATTTTTGCTGTCCAAGCTGTCCAATTGGGCAAACGACTCAAATTTGATTGGCCACGAGCAAGCGGGCTTTAGGAACAATTATTCGACCACTGACCATATGGTAATCATGTATCATCTTGCCAGAAAATATTCTGCCCCGAGTCGGGGGCGCCTATGTGTCGCTTTCATAGACCTAAAGGCCGCCTTCGACAGTATCCCAAGAAACTGTCTATGGAAGAAATTAGAGAGATGGGGCATAGATAGAAGGCTGTTATGGCTTATAACCCAATTACACCATGGGTCGTCGGCTAGAGTGAGACTCACACCGGCGGGAAACCTATCCAACGAGGTCCCAATAAATAGAGGTGTGCGCCAAGGTTGCATTTTGGCCCCACTCCTCTTCAACTTGTTTATTAGCGATATGAAGCTCTTTCTGAATGAGTCTCAAGCCAACATTCATGCCCCCCGCCTAGCTGATTTTCGCTGCCCTCTGCTCTTATATGCCGACGATGCAGCGATCCTTTCCTACTCTAGAGTCGGTTTATGCAGAGCTCTAAAGATTTTTGCGGCTTATTGCAAACTCAACCATCTGACAATTAATCATGGGAAATCTAAAGTCCTGGTCTTTACCAGGTCTCGGAAAACTTACAGCTGGAAGTTAGATGGAGTCCAATTAGAACAAGTTTTCAAATTTAAATACCTGGGAGTCTTTTTCACTACAACCTAAGCTGGAAGCCACAGATACAGTATTTACTAAACAAAGGGAAAACAATACTTTATACTCTACTCCAATTTTTGCGGCCGACGGAGCCTCCCACATCCCTTCTGCATTGAAGGTGTACCATGCAAAAGTGGTTTCCACCCTCTGTTATGCTGCCCCGCTCTGGGCCCCAGGGTCCAATTTAACATCGTTGGGGACATTGCAGAATCAGTTTCTCCGTCGCCTCCTGAAACTCCCCATGTGTGTGAGCAACGCAGCCATACGTCTGGAGTTAAGGATTGCATCATTGGAGACGGTCATCTGGAAGCGAGTCTTTGGTTATTGGCTGTCCAGCTGGCACAGGCTTCCCAACCATTACCTTTTTCAGTGCCTCTGGCGGGACGACTTTGTCAATCCATGGGTAGGAAAAATCCATGCCAAACTTCTGAGCATCGGAATTTCCCCAGCGGACTCCTTAAAGATGAACTTACGCTCAGCCAAAAGACTTATTGAGCAGAGATTAGCAGACATTGAAAATCAACACAACCTCGCCGGGGGTGAGGGTGTCTGCTCCCCCAGGTATCACGGAATAACCTCACCACTTGGCCTTCCATCATACATGTCATCTCTTTCATCTGTACCACACCGACATGCATTTATTCGTGCAAGGTTCAATGTCTTTCCATCGAACCTGCTGAGCCACAGATTTTCCAAGGGTTTGGTGTCTCCGCTATGCGTGTGTGACGGGAAAACTGTTGATTCTCTCTCACATATAATGTTCAACTGTCCCCGACATAGCATAGCCAGGACTAAATTCCTGGGCCCTGCTTTACTGCGCTTGGTTGGCAGGCCTGCTGAGTCACATGCCGCACTACTTTTGCAGGATACAGATCCTTCTGTAACTCTGCAGGTGGCGAGATTCCTGAATGCAGTTATCTCACACACAAAAACCACCAAAAACAACAACATCAAAAACTAATCGGACAGTTTTGAAGAGAGTGCATGTCGGATCCCGTCTTCAGTTCTCCTTTTCTGGGATCCGTCCCTTGGAGCTCTCCGGGCCCCAAGCTGTTATCTGGCTCTGCTCAATGACCCACCCCTGCATCATGGTGTTCACCTTCTGGTGCCGAATATATTAGTCTTTATGCCTCTGTGCTTTTATGTTTGTACATACTTTATGGGCTAATAGCCGTAAATAAATAAATAAATAAATAAATAACCTTTAAATGTGAACTGGAGCACATTTCCATGCTTAATTGAGAGGGCCTGCCCAGGTGACGCCCAAGCTCACTTGGGGTGGAAAGTACTTGCGGGGTTGCCAGTGATGAAACAACTTCTGGTCCAAGAGACGGCTGCCTAGGATTTTCCAAGGCTTGGGCACAATCCACTTCCAAAGCAGATTTGGGCCTGGGCACAGGCAGATTTTGAAGAGACCCCTCGATTTGACTGGAGGAGACAACAGACAGAACATATCTCCCTTGATCCTTAACAGAATTGGGGGGGGGGGTGTATTAAAAGTGTGTTTTATCAACACTGCTGAGCAAACTGGCTTGTGGTCCTTCACTCTCCACAGGGAGTCCTGCGAAGGGTATTTCAGTGGAGGAGGCGGAATATTGGGGACAGTGGCGTAGCAAAGTCAGGTGGTACCCGGTTCAGATAGGATTGGCTGCGGGTTGAGTGATGATGAGTCACCGGCTGTTTACGTCTCGCTCGAGTACAAACTGCAGAGACAGACTTCGGCGGAAAGAAACACCCCCTGCCCTTCCTTATCCATTTGCTCTCCACTACACAGCGTCAAGTTCAGCCGTGTTTTTTTGCGTTTGTTGACAGAACTAAAAAGTTTCAATATGTATTGTGTTGACTTGCTGAGGTTAATTAATTGTCAGGCGAAGTTATCAAACTCGTTTTAAATAATATTATTTTTTCCAAAAAAAAGTGTCGTGAGCCCAATTTTTTAATTTTTTAAAATTTATTTTAAAAACACGTATTTTTGCCATTTTGTCACACACCCCCCCCCCAGTGGTGACACCCGGGGCGGCCCGCACCCACCGCACCCCCCTTCCTACGCCACTGGTTGGGGAGAATCTGTGCAGTCTAAAATAAACGTATACAGTGGTACCTCGGGTTAAGTACTTAATTCGTTCCGGAGGTCTGTACTTAACCTGAAACTGTTCTCAACCTGAAGACCACTTTAGCTAATGGGGCCTCCCGCTGCTGCCACGTCGCCGGAGCACGATTTCTGTTCTCATCCTGAAGCAAAGTTCTTAACCTGAAGCACCATTTCTGGGTTAGCGGAGTCTGTAACCTGAAGCGTATGTAACCTGAAGCGTATGTAACCCAAGGTACCACTGTACTGAGCTCTCAAAAAGATTGTCCTGCATTGAGGCAAACTTCCCTCAATGGTCCCTAGATGTCAGTATAGGCCTAGGAGCGTTCCATTTCTTCGCTTTCCCTTATTCTGTTAAGGAGAACTCTCCTCTGGAAAACTCATCCCATGCCAACACTGTCCCTGTTAGGTGCCAAGGGAGTGGGATTCTGAATCCCTATGCTTTTGTGTTCTCCTTCATTATGGTCTCATTCTAGCCCTGTTTTGCGGAGAGCCGAAACCTTCAGGAAACACACCCTGAGGCAACGCCCTCCCTTGCCCTGTGTCTCCAGCATATCTTTGATTACCAGGCAGACAGACCCCAGGGCTGGCTCTACTTATCTTGTAAGTCACGATATGTTGCAAGTTAGAAACACATAACTCATAACACATCCATTAACCGCTGCAAGAACCACCACGGCCAAGACATGGAAATAATTACAAATAATGGTTGATTGTGGACCAATAGTCTAATGCAATCTGGCAAACAACAGGATTGGAAAAACTGCCACAAAAATTAAAAGTAGCAAGAGGGCAAAAGAATCATGATGATTTTTATGCAATCTGATGTGACTTTATTGATTACACAAATAAAGAGGCATATGGAAGAACCGTACCCAAAGTTTACAGCACAGTCTAGCGTGCATGAAGGATATATTTTAACTTCCCCCTACCCCTTTCCTATAAATTCCTATAAATTCTAATTGTTATTGATACAAAATTCCTCTTACCTATTGTCACTGTTACTTTGCACCATTTCATATCTGTAGTAATTGTCATATTTTTGCTATATACACTTTGACACAACCTTGTCAGAAACATTTGTCTGTGTGTTTATTGTTGCTTTAATTTTATGTAATTGTTGCATGTCATATGCTCTAATGTAAACAAAGATATATCTCAATGCAACCATGATAAACAGCTTAAAGATGAAAAGGAATAAGAACTATGTTACCCTCCCCAAAAAAAGAACTGAACTGCGTTGAATGAGGACACGCAAACATTTCTCCCATAGTCCATCCAAGCAGCAGTTAAACATTCCTAAAAAGTATAAACACACACGCAGCGAGATAGAGTTGCATTACTTGTGCCTTCCTTTTGTCTCCATCTCTGGGCAGGCTCTGGACCATCAAGGACTGACCACACCTGCCTTGTCCTTAAGGACCTTCATACCTGCACCATGTCCCAGTCCCCCACCCCCACCCCCTGCACCACTGCTGGTTTGGTTGGTCTTCCAGATCTATGGGTGGTGTTGGTGCTGGGGAGATGGCAGGAAGTGACGTTGCTTGCAAGACATATCCATGCTACTAATGCAGGGCAGGAGCCCAGCTGATGTAAGGACCATGCTGTGTGACTGGGAAATGCCCTGCTCAAAGATCCTCTGTTGGACCATGCTGGCTAAGTATTGGTGGGATTGTGGGTTAGATGGCAAGGGAGGCAGTGGCAGCACACTGTGCTACGGAGCTGGGAAACTGGGTCCCACTGACTCTCCCACCTCCTTGTTGGGGTGAAGGAACATCAACACAGGTCTAGGGTAGAAACTCTGGTGCCTCCAGTGGGCCTTAAAATCCCTGGGGCAGGAAGGCCAGCACTTTGAGAAACACGCCCCATCCTTAAATGCCATGGTCTGGTGGTACTGGAGGAAGAAGTGGGAGCAAGCTCTGCTTTGGGCCTTCTCATGCCATGCACAGCTCGACAACTTTCTTGGCCAGCACTGGGAAGCTTGTGTCCAGGAAACACGAAGGGCGTGGGGAAGAGAGAGGTCAACATCCCAATGCTTTGCAAGGTGAACGCCAGACAGAATGCAGCTCCCAAGGTCCTTGTGGCTTGGCTTCCGAGTCCTGGTAAGAGCTCAGGGCGTGGCATGGTGGACGTCCTCTGAGCGAAGCACTTTGTAGACCACCCAGTAGAAGATGTTGAAGACCAGGAAGGTGAAGGGGAAGACCGCCCGAGAGATGGTGTCGATGCGCTTGGCCCTGTCCAGGTAGCGCCTCCGGAGCATCTCGTCCTCCCTCAGGAGCGAGGTGGGAGGGGGTGGCCTGTAGATGTCAAGACTTTCCATTGCCCCACCGTCCTTCATGTGCTGCAGGCAGTGGCCCAGGCCGTAGCCCCGGAAGTAGAAGCGGCTCTCGCGGACAACCTCTTCCTCCTGGGGAAAGAGAAAGGGAGGGAGCAGCCCAGGGAGCTGGGGTCATTGCTTTGGAGGGGTAGTCACTGCTTAAAGGTTCTCCGTCTTCTCTACAGGACAGGGGGGCCCTCAATGCTGTCGCATCATGGCTCAAGCCCAAAATCCTTCCTCCAAGGATGGTGGCTTGAACCAGGGCGCTGAAACTAATGGGACCCAATTGCTTTCGAGGTAACGCCGGAGACATCCCACAACAGAGCAGGTGGGATGTCTACAAGGCAGTCAAACCAACAAGGTGTGTTTGCTAGAAAGGCAAACACAGGGGAAGTTGGATCTCTACAGGAAATCCTCCCTGGGAAAGCCACTCCCACTGTCTCTAGCCAGGTAAAGGTGAGCAGCCTATATAAGCTGGTCACATCCCTGGCCTGCTCCTTCTCTGATTCCTAATCTCCAATCTCTCTCATCTCTTCTCTTCAATGACTAGGGATGTAGGACATGCGCTGAGTATGAGAAACAGCTCAAACTCCACTTTAATCTAAACTACCATATATGTCTGTAACGACCTTTTAAGCCTGGTGCAGGACTGCTGCTGTGAAACCGGGTGAGTACCTAAATCTATCTTTACTAATAAGAATACTGTGTGTTTATTGTTTTAAGGGGGGGAGGGGAATACCAGGAAATCCAATCTGTGATAAACCATCCTGGATTGCTTAAATTAAAGGGCTAACACTAGTTTATCAACAGCTTTCTTCTTATTATTATTTTCAGCAAAGGGGATGTACTCTGCTGAACTCACAAATGTGAGTAAGGAAGGATAATATCTAACAAATATATTATCTCTTTATTTCTATATGCATCCCATGAGAGCATGTGAAGAGGGGCTGCAGCCTTCTCTATTTCCAGCTTCTATAGTGTGTGTCTGTCGAAGAGCTGTGTGCCACTCAGAACGCATGCATGCCCTGATAACAGCTGCCCTTCGGTCCTCCTAAGCTCACTTCCAGCACATCCAACCATCTCTCCCTCTGGGCTCCTTTGGCTTCCAAGGGCTGCGTGGTGACCCCACTGCCAGCAAAAACCCTTTGCTCCCACACATACAGGGGTTGCTGTGCATTTGTGGGCAACACTGCAGGGTGGGTTTCTCACAGGCAATGGGGAAGGTGGTGCAAGGGAGGGAGGGGGAAAACATGAGGGTTGGCGTGGAGAAGGGTGACAGGCGGAGAGCAGGAGACCTGCAGGGTGGGGTCAGGGTGTGGGGAAGGGGTGTGTGCTTGCTTTTTACCCTGGAGTCGGTGCTGCCGAATTGAGAGAGGGTCTCGCAGGTGGACTCGCTGCTGGGCGTGACCTCCAGCTGCCGTAGGGACTCCAAGCTGGGCGTCTGGCTGTTCAGACCCTTTTACAATCCAGCAGGGAGTGCAGATCAAACAGAAACAGGAGAGTGGATGACCGAGGGTTCGGCTGGCGCACAGCGACTCTGGGCGGGAGCCCGTGCAAAGGGTCTGCCCATTGATGCCCATAGGCGTGGCTCGCTCTGGCTCAACAGGTCTCCTCTTAGAGAGCTTGATTGACTACAGTCCTCTGGGTGGACTCACACATGCACAGAACGCCCAGGTGTGCCCAATCATTCAACAAGAGAACAGACAGGGGAGACCCACCAGGTGCCTGGCAGGCCTGCCCTCTCCTCTTTGGAGGATGGCAGCAAAAAGGCAGTGGGGCAGTGGGGCTTAGAGGCCCTGGTGGGTGGCCTGGAATCACAGAACCGTAGTGTTGTGGAGTTGGAAGGGACCTGCCCAACCTTCTGCAATGCAGGAATCTCAGCTCAAGCAGATGGCCCTCCAAGCTCTGCTTCAAAACCTCCAACGAGAGAGAGAGTTCACCACTTTCCAAGGGAGTCCGTTCCACCCAAGGACAACCCTCATTCCCAGACACACACACACACTCAATGCCTCCAATGAAGGGCTCAAAATGGTGTGTGGGCTTTGAGGGCAGATTCACACAAACCAGCCATTCGGGAGCTCCCAGCTTAGGCAGGGAGGAGGAGGATGAAAGGCAAGGTTTTGTGGGAGCTTGTGGGATGGCAGCATCATTACAGGCACACACACACACACACACACACACACACACACACACACCTTGGTAGGACCTGAACCAATGGATTCAAATGACCAGGAAGAAGATTCCATCTCAACATCAGAAGAGCCATTGAATCATGGAATGGACTTCTTAGGGAGGTGGTGGACTCTGCTTCCTGGGGGGTTTTGAAGCAGAGGTTGGATGGCCATCTGTCAGGGATGCTTGAGCTGAGATTCCTGGGGGTCTCTTCCAACTCCACGATTCTGATTCCGTCTCGGCTTGCCAAGTGGCCAGCCTTTAAGGCTGCAGATATAGAACTGGGAGGGTTTAGTCAAGGCTTGGTGACGTCTCAAAAGAAGGCCATGGGCTAAGGAGGGTGAGGGGAAAGGGGCTGAGCAGGATTGCCCAGGGTCCTTCAGCATTCCTGGCCCTTCCTTGCAACTCCCAGAAATGGATGGATGCCAAATAAGCCAAGCTACGCAAATGTGCTTTCAACATTTGCTTTTCCTGACGATTTCATTTATTAAAGTGTGGGCCTCTACAAATGAGATGGTTGCAGTGGGGGTGGGCACTGGGGCGCATGACTCAGGAAAAGGGGGCTGAGGAGAAGGGGAGAGGGGTGGAAGGAGGAAGCAGCAACAACAACACAGTCTCACCGACACCCTCAAAGACCAGTAGCTTTATCTCTGGGGGTACAAACCCAGCTGGGAACCCTGCCGTCATGCGCAGGAAGGTGCTTCCTCTGAATTCTAGGTCTGTGTCTGGCTTTGCTGCAGCTAGAGAAGGCCGTTTGCACTCTGCACCTGCTCAGAGATGCTCCCTCCAGCTGGGCAACATCTCATCCTGCTCACAGAATCATAGAATCGTTGAATCGCAGAGTTAGAAGGGACCCTGAGGGTCAGCTGGTCCAACCCTATTCAAGGCAGGAATCTCAACTAAAGGATCCATAACAGACGGCCACCCAACCTCTTTTTGCTGCTGCATCTCACTATTGAGTCGCGTTAAGCTTGGAGTCCACCAAGACCCCCTAGATTCTTCTCACATGTACTATACTGGCAAGCCAGTTTGTCCCCCATTCTTATGTTCTTACAGCTCCATCCATTGAATGGCAGCAGCTCTCAGATCAAGCATCTTCTCCCTGTTAGTGTAGTCTAAATAATAAAGCATGAAGAAAGATGAGAAGAGAATAAAATTTTGAAAAACCATTTGTACATGTTTCATTTGTTGTATAATGATGCTTATCAATGTAACGTAGAGTTAAAGTCGGAGCGATTATCTGCTTAGGACGTAGCTTGAAATAGATACATAAAAAGAATGCAAAATTGTCACAGCATCATTCTGTTTCTGCACTTAATGAAGGTAGATTTCCAGGGGGCACTGAGTATTTTTTTTTCTGAAAAGGGGGCACTAGGCCAAATAAGCTTGGGAACCCTCTGATCTAGTCCAACCCCCTGCTATGCAGGACTCTCATCTAAATCATCCATGACAGGTGGCTACCTAACCAGTGTTGGGAAAAGTGCCACAGGGAACACCCTCCTCGGACGGGAAAAATTTCACTCGGCTTTTTCAGCTAAGCCAACAACTCAGAAAGTCGAGAAGGAGAGTGGGGAATTTAAGGGCCAGAGGTTTTCTGTGATTGACCCGCCCGCTGTCTCTAGTTCAAAATACTCAAACAGAGAGAGATCAACAAACTCTGCAAGTCCAGTCCTTACGTTTTGGTCTTGGTGATCACTGTGGGCCGTTTCACTCCGGAAGACGAGGAAATTGCTAAAATGGTCAAGAAGGTGTTTAGGAAGAAGTTTGGGAAGCGCATGCTTGTCTTGTTCACCCACAAAGAGGATTTAAAAAGGTGAATCCTTGGAGGAATATGTGGAGAAGTCCAAAAATGAGGCACTTCTGAAACTGGTTAAGGATTGTGGGGATTGCTACTTTGCTTTGAATAACAAGGCAGCTGGAGAAGAGGAGAAGGATGTCTCCAAGCAGATGGAAAATCTCCAGCAGATCCTTCACGGGGACGGATCAAGGCCCTGCACAGAAAAAGGGAGAGAGGGGGAAAGAACTGAAGGCTGCTCTTATATCATCTAGTTTATAGTGTTTCATTTCTTTCTAAAATATGTGGGGCTTCCTGTTGAATAGTGGGTAGACATGGCAGACGACACAGCGATTTATCCAAAGCAGCTCTTTATTTTGTAAGCTGGAACAGAACTGAACAGCAAACAGCTCAGCCGGCCTGCTTTTATAGGCAGCCCGCTGTCCACAATGTAGCAACAACAACCCAGGGTTTCCCGCCTAAAATAACTGACGTGGACCTGAGTGAAAACTATCTACAGTATCCCCCTGCTGGCCCAGGGTGAGAACTTCAGTACATAACACCCCTCCCCACCGAGATAAGGCGTTAGTTACAATCGTAATGGTTTCCTTATATACAGCACTACACGTAATGGTTCAATTAGGCACAAAAGCATATCGGTTACATTTCCCATACTTAGACCAACAGTGATACATGTCCAACAACATAGTCCTTTAAATAAGTTGGGCGCTTGGAAACTCTGCCAGACCGCCGGGGACTGGTAGCCAAGTCCGGGGGGCCACCCAATTCTTGCTGAGGCTGTGGTGCGACCCTAGGTGGCGTTGAAACCAAATCCCCTGGATCCGCTGCTGTGGGTGGAGCCTCCGCAAGTGGAGTGGTCTGAGTCTGTGGTAAGTCTGGCAGACCCTCTGAAGCGGCTTGGTTCGGCTCCACGCTGGCAGTTTGCGAGGGAGGTGTAGGTGGAGCCTCGCCATCTGTAAGTGTCTCTTCTGGAGCCACGAGCGCAGTTGGGGGCACCACGGTAGTGTCCAAGTCCCCAACCCTGCGCCTAAGCTGGTCTATGTGCCGGCGCCACAAGCGTCCGTCTTCGAGTGCCACCTGGTACGAGCGAGGTCCAGTGACTCCCACTACTGTGGCTGGCACCCAAGGAATGTCCCCCACATAGTTCCGGGCAAAGACCTGGTTTCCTGGAACAAATGACCGTGGTGTGTTGGCACAGCCTGGGGGTTCAGCCACGGCAAAGTCCGGGTGCAGCCGGTCGAGCGGTGACCTGAGGCGGCGGCCCATAAGCAGTTCAGCAGGACTCCGCCCTGTGGCCGCATGAGGGGTGATGTGTTGCACGAACAAGTATTCGGCGACCCGCTCGTGCCAGTCTCCCCGGTCCAGGCGCGCCAGTGCCTCTTTTGCCGAGCGCACCATTCTCTCCGCTTGCCCGTTGCTGGATGGATGAAATGGTGCCGTTAGGGCATGGCGGATGCCCAGTCCCAAAAGATACCGCTCAAAAGTGCCTGACGTGAACTGCGGTCCGTTGTCGGAGACAAGGACATCAGGACACCCATGCGTCGCAAACAGGCCTCGCAGCACCCGGATGACGGCCTCGGTAGTGGTGGAGGGCATCAGGGCCACCTCCAGCCATTTGGAATAGGCGTCCACCACTACCATAAAGGTCCGGCCGTGAAAGGGGCCGGCCAGATCGATGTGCACCCTCGACCAGGGTGTCTTTGGCGTCTCCCAGGTGTGTCCCTTAGCTGCCGGTGGTGCAGGCCTCGATTCTTGGCACGCTTGACAGGCGGACACCCAGGCAGTGATGGCATCGTCCATGTTAGGCCACCAGACGTAACACCGAGCCAACGCCTTCATTTTGACAATTCCCGGGTGGCCAACGTGCAGAGCCTCCAGGACGCGTTGACGGAGTCTTTGGGGAATCACGACGCGGTCTCCCCACAGCAGACAGCCGCGATGAGCCGAGAGTTCATGTTGTCTGGTTGCGAAGGGCTGGAACTCCGATGCAAAAGGCCCTTGTGGCCACTCCCTCCACACCCAGTTGAGCACACGGCTGATGGTGCGATCCTGGGCAGATGCGGAGGCCACAGTGGCAGCCGATACAGGCGCTGCCGGAAGATCCTCAATCAGGAGGAGCGATGAAGCTGGAGCCGGGTCTTCCACAAACGCTGGAAGAGGGCAACGGCTGAGGGCGTCGGCATGGCCCATCGATTTCCCCGGGCGATGGACGAGCCGGTAGTGGTAGGCAGCCAGGAAAACAGTCCATCGCAGCATGCGCGGCGAGAGGACCGGTGGAGTTGGACGATCACCGGCGAGGAGGCCCAGGAGCGGCTTGTGGTCAGTGATGAGGTCAAAAGTCCTGCCATAGAGGTATTCATGGAACCTCTTCACTCCAGCCACAAGTGCCAGTGCCTCCTTGTCGAGCTGGCTGTAATTCCGTTCCGTCGGAGATAGCGTCCTGGAAAAGTAGGCGAGCGGTGCTTCTCTTCCGTCTGGAAAACGGTGACTAAGGACAGCGCCGATGCCAAAAGGTGAGGCGTCGCAGGCAAGGACCAGCGGCCTGGATTCACTGTACTGTACCAGCACACTGTCCGATGAAAGGAGAGCCTTGACCGCGTTGAAGGCCGCCGTCTCCCGATGACCCCAGGACCAAGGCGTCTTTGTGCTGAGGAGTCGGTGAAGAGGCTCAGCCACCGTGGCTTTGTGGGGCAGGAACATGTTATAAAAGTTCAGCAGCCCCAGGAACGCCTGCAACTCCGTCTTGTTCTTTGGGATGGGGGCCTGCTGGATAGCGCGGATCTTGGATGTGGTCGGGTGAAGGCCGGAGGCGTCGATAAGATAGCCCAGGAACTCTACCTGTGGAACGGCGATCTGGCACTTCTCCCTCTTTACCTTGAGCCCGGCCTCTTGGAACCTGGTCAGCACGGCACGGAGGCGCTCGAACAGCTGCTGGTGTGAGTCTGCGGACACCAAGACGTCATCAAAATATGGTACCACGCCCGGAAGCCCTTGCAGGAGACGCTCCATAAGGCTTTGGAAGATGCCAGGAGCCACACTCACCCCGAACTGCAACCGGCGGCAACGGAATGCCCTCGGTGGGTGACGATCGTCTGGGCTTCAGCAGTGGCATCATCGACGGGCAGTTGTTGATAGGCTTGGGCAAGGTCCAGCTTAGCGAAGACCTTACCCTCACCCAGGGAATGCAGCAGGTGTTGGACAACAGGAACCGGATAAGCGTGCTGCTGAAGTGCCTTGTTGATCGTGCACTTGTAGTCAGCGCAGATTCTCACCGACCCGTCTGGCTTGACAGGCGTGACGATGGGGGTTTCCCACTTGGCGTGGTCAACCGGCTCCAAAACTCCTTGGGCGATCAGCTTGTCCAGTTGTTCGTCCACCTTAGCCTTGAGAGCAAAGGGAACCCGGCGTGGCTTTAGCTTGATGGGGGCGACTTGTGGATCAAGGCTAAAGGAGATGGGCGTACCTGTATATTGCCCCAAAGTGCCGTCAAAAACCTCGGCAAAGTCTTTGACCAGACCCTCAGTCTCTGCGTTAGAGATGCAGTTGATGCCGGTGACTTCCAGGCCGAGGGCATCAAACCAGTCTAGCCCTAGGAGGCTTGGCCGCTGACCTTCGACCACCACCAGCCGGAGCAGGCCCGAAAATCCTTGAAGGCGATCCGGAACCGGCCAACGCCTACCACGGGAATGTCGTTTCCCTGGTAGTCTCTCAGGTGGACGCGGTGAGAGTCGAGTTGCCTTTGGACACTCTGGGTACCAGTCTTTTGATGGTGCTCCAAGACACGATGGACAGGGCAGACCCGGTGTCGATCTCCATGTCACATGGAGCTCCTTCAATGAGCACCGTGACATTCAGCTTGCGTCGCGTAGGCGAGTCGGTTTGGCCAATCGTGGTTCCAGACGGGCAGCGGCAGTTGGTGAGAGCGAAACAGCTTTCCTTGGCAGACTGGAGTGAAGACTTGGACTTGCGAGTCGGTGAAGGGGGGGTGTCAGACGGAGCCGATCGGCAGACCTTAGCGATGTGGCCCCTTCTGGAACACTTCCTACAGATGGTGTCTCTGAATCGACACTTGGCACAGGAATGGTTGCCTCCGCAGCCGGCGCATTCCGGTTGGCCCTTGGCCTTCTGTTGGAACTTCCTGCGCTCCCGCTTTGTCTGGTGCACGTCATCATCTTCACTGGAGGATGCCTCATCACTGCTGGCCTCTTCATGATGCACTGGAACTTGCTTCCTAGCAAGACGCAAGCTGCTGGACTTGCGGATCTCCTGGGCGGAGCGTTCAGCAGCTTCTGAGGCCACAGCCTCCTCGATGGCTTCCTGTAGCGTGAGGTCTGGCTTGGCGAGGAGACGCCGTTGCAGATGGATGTCCCGGACTCCGCAGACGATTCAATCCATCAGGGCATCGTCTAAGTCTCGGAACTCGCAGTGACTCCCCCTCTGCCTGGTTCCGGTGGTAAAACGCATGGCGGGCAGCAATCTTGGACGGCTTTGGCGCGTAGTGGTTGCGGAGCTTCTCTTGGATCGTGTCCCATGGTGTTGCCTGGACTGCTTCAGGCGCAACCAATGCTCGGGCCGTCTCAAACACCTCAGGCCCACAGAGGCTGAGGAATAGGCCCCGCTTCCGTTCATTTGATACTGCTGTCAGCTCGTTGGCTTGGAGGTAGCAATCGAACCGAGCGAGGTAGGAGTCCCATGATTCAGAGGCTGGTGCGAATGGCAGAGGCACAAGTGAAGCCATGATTCCGATGCCGGCATGAAGGGCGATGGATGGAACACAGCGCTCCAGCCAGAACAGTCAGCTCTGAATTGGTTCTGTCCAGTGATTTCACTCAGTAATTTCACTCTGTGATTCAGCTCAGTTCAGAGGATGGCCGCATCTGGCTGTGCTCTGATGTCCACCTATCCCATCCTCGTCGCCAGTGTTGAATAGTGGGTAGACATGGCAGACGACACAGCGATTTCTCCAAAGCAGCTCTTTATTTTGTAAACTGGAACAGAACTGAACAGCAAACAGCTTAGCCGGCCTGCTTTTATAAGCAGCTGGCTGTCAACATTGTAGCAACAACAACCCAGGGTTTCCCGCCTAAAATAACTGACGTGGACCTGAGTGAAAACTACATACACAATACTCCTGGTGGCCAGGGTGAGAACTTCAATACATAACACTTCCCTTGTGCCTAATCTGGAAGTTGCAATGAGTGCAGGATGCCACCATTGTTGACAGCAGCAGGTGCTTGTCAGCCTAGGACGCCTGGGCTCAGAGACCTGCCCTGGCTCCCGATTTGCTGCCAGGCCAAGTTCAAGGCATTGCTCTCAGGATATTAAGTCCGTAACTGTTTGGGAGCAGTTTAGCCCTGAGATCGCCTGACCCCACATGTGGTCTCTGGATGCTTCGATTGGCAGAATGGGCACAGTTACAGGTGCCACATAATATCTGTTCTGCATTGATAAGAAATCGTTCTTTCGGTGTGGCGGCACCCACACTCCCTGCATATCGACATCAGGCAGGCAACTTTGCTACCTTTTTTTTGCCGCCTGCGAAAAACATTTTTGTTTAGACAAGGCTACTCACATATTTAGAATGCTGATATGTTTGTAGTTTGTCGCTGGTTTTAATTTGTGGATGTTTTCGTTATTAATCATAATCCTGTTGCATTATTCTTTTTGCAGAGCGCTTTGAGGTTTTCTACAATCAAGTGGTAAAGGATTTTATGAAAATAGTAACATACCTAACTGTCCGCAGTTGCCTAAACCCCACAAAGGAGTGGATACATTGGTCCACTTCAGTTCTCTCAGTTTCTCATTTTCCCCATCTTAAACTCTCTGGAAATGTTTTGTTTTTGAACCATTATGAAAGTTTAACTGTATTTTTGTGTCAATTGTGTATTTTTGTGTCAATTTCCCCTAACAAACAACTTTGTAAATTACATACATACTTTTGCAAGACACTGTTCCTAATAAAATGCATATTTGCATGTCATTTTCACAGTTATATGCATTCTTGTGAACTCTGGCTGGAGAACTGCATCGCGAAATTCCACAAAGCGAGGATTTCAGAGATTGGCTGTGTTTCATTTTGCTTTGGAAAGTGGAAATTTATAATTTCCACCTTTCAATGGGAGCTGGATCAAACGGTCACCGACCATTTTGGATCAGGGGGTACATTTTGAATTTGGAGAGAGCGTGGTGGGAGGAGGTAGTCATAAAATTGCTGGCAGGGGTGTGTGTTCTGAATAGGATTCCTCACAAGAAAAGGGAAAAGTTGACAGCTATGGTCATTGTGGACAGACAACTTTCAAAGGCTAAATAACCCCATTTCCCCAAACACCGATCCTAAACCAAAGCCTAGACTGCCATCCTGCACCCACTTCCTGGGAATAAGCCCCAGGAAACCAAAAGAGGCCTGTTTCTAAGCCAGACACATTTACCGCCCTACAGCCAATTAGAAGAAGAAGAGTTTTGGATTTGATATCCCGCCTTTCACTCCCTTTAAGGAGTCTCAAAGCGGCTAACCTTCTCCTTTCCCTTCCTCCCCCACAACAAACACTCTGTGAGGTGAGTGGGGCTGAGAGACTTCAGAGAAGTGTGACTGGCCCAAGGTCACCCAGCAGCTGCAGGTGGAGGAGCGGAGACGCAAACCCGGTTCCCCAGATTACGAGTCCACCGCTCTTAACCACTACACCACACTGTCTGTAAATGTACAGTGAATTCTTATGAGTGCCTGGACACCAGGTCCTGCACAGCGAGAGACATGCTTGAACTTCCCAAAGTTCTGAAATTTTTACCATTTGGGAAGGGAATTATTTAACACCCATCTCCAGAAAACAACTCTTTTTTTATTTGCATATTTGAAAACAGGAACAGAAAGCATATTTAACCCCCTCCCCCATCCCACTTACAACTTCGTACCAAATACTTTTCACTTTTCAATGGAAGCTGGATCAAATCTGTCCTGCATCCCTCATTCCACTTCCTTGTTCCCCAGACCCTTTAATCGCCCATCTGTCTGGTATTTATAGGGGCAGCCCCATGGGAAATCCTATTGAACTCAGTGGGACTTACTTCTGACTAAACATGGTTCGGCTTGCAGTGTGAAGCTGCCTAGTCTTCACCCAGTTACATGGGAGTAAGCACCATTGAATACCGTGGGATTTACTTATGAGTAGACAGAGCAATTGATCTGTCAGAGCAATTGATGCTTTTGAATTCTGGTGCTGGAGGAGACTCTTGAGAGTCCCATGGACTGCAAGAAGATCAAACCTCTCCATTCTGAAGGAAATCAGCCCTGAGTGCTCACTGGAAGGACAGATCCTGAAGCTGAGGCTCCAATACTTTGGCCACCTCATGAGAAGAGAAGACTCCTGGAAAAGACCCTGATGTTGGGAAAGATGGAGGGCACAAGGAGAAGGGGATGACAGAGGACGAGATGGTGGGACAGTGTTCTCGAAGCTACCAGCATGAGTTTGACCAAACTGCGGGAGGCAGTGGAAGACAGGCGGGCCTGGCGTGCTCTGGTTCAGGGGGTCACAAAGAGGCGGACATGACTAAACGACTAAACAACAACAACAGACAGAGCAAGGCTCCATTTACAATTAAGGAATAAACACTCCCAGTGTTTCCTGAGAAATGGCTGGCCACTGAAGCATTGCAATTACAGAATGGAAAGGGGATTGGTGACCTCTTCCTTCAAAATTATAGGAGGGGCTTTGTGCGCCACCATCACCATTTCCTCCATTTGGTGCAGGAATTTTATTTTCAGGGTAAACAGGAGTCCATTTTTGCTCCTACACACCACTTTTAATTGTTCTCCGATACTTCGAGGGGAGGAAAAAAGGAAAACCGGGGCATTCCAGGATCAAATCAGAAACTGGGATGGCTTATGCAATTCCTGGGCTGTCCCTGGAAAACAGGGGCTCTTTGAGAACATGCATTCTCCCACCTCATGGTCGGACTATCCCTGATTGAGATTTCAGAAGGCTCCCTGCTCAGGAGGACAAGGAAGGCAGAGAAAGCTGCAGGGAAACTATTGGAGTAAACAGCAAAAGCGAAAGCGAAATCTATGTGCTGTGGACCATTTCTGAGAATTTGCACAGTTACAAATAACACCCTGCCTAGTGTGGGAAACCCCGATAGGCAGGAAGAGCATTCTGTTTTTCATGTCAGTCATTTCTATCTTCTGCTCCACCTTGAATGCAAAACATCATAGCAGTTTCTCTCCTCTTTGCACAACAGCGTAGCAGAGATCTTGCAGTTTCATCCCACATGTTATGTTTTGTTTATGCCGCACAAAAACCTTATTTCACATGCATATATCTGGAGTGTGTTACAGGAATTGATGTTGTTACGGAAATTACGGGGGGGGGGACATCTTTAAAGTTATTAAATGCTACAAATATTATGCCTGAATGTATCCTTTCGACTTGACAGCTAAGGGAAGATATCTAGCTTTATAAATCATATAATATCAACCCCTTTGCCAATTTCCTTCATCCAATGGACTCTTTTCCCTCCCACCTCCCACCCTAATCCCTCAGACACATACATCCTCCTTTCCCAGGAAATGCCCAGAGCTTATTGTTAGCAAAGGAAAGCTAAATCCTATCACTGACTTGCCCCAGGATCTAGATATGCAAGGGAAGTTCTAGTGTGGGCACATGCGCTAAACCCTGCCTGTGGTGCCCACCCCCTTTTCCCCAAATGATGAGACAAGAGACCAGAGTATGGGGTTCAAATTGGCCACAACTTTATTGAGCTTCAGACGTGGGAAACTTGGCACAGGCCTTGGCAGGTAACCCTCTCAGCCCGCCTGGCTGAGCATGTGCAGGCAGATGAGGTCCAGCGAGAGGGGACTGCAAAGCGCAAACTTACACAGCATGTCCTTCCACCGACCTCGTCCGGGGAGTTTGACCTACATGGCGCCGCTCTAGGGCCAGGGACTCCCGGTTTTGCCCTTTAACGGGCCCTGCAAGCGCCGGCGCATGGGGGGGAGCATGAATGCATCCCCCACAAATTGGTGATAGACTAAAGGATACTTTGCCAAGGCCTAAAACTGCCACCCTAGGCCCCCTAAGGGCCTCGCCACCAAGAGTCCCACAACCGAGGAACCATCACCCATACTCTGCCTTCAAACCTTGTTGCCTACCCAGTCCCTGAGGACTTGTTGCAAGTCGTGCAGCCAGAGGTCATTCCCAAATGGTGTCAGATGCACCCCGTCCACCCTGAATAAGCCGGCCATCTCTGCCCTGATGGTGGGGTATGGGATAGAGAATCCACCAATTAGCCGCATGGTATTGCGCATGGCCCTGTCGATTTTTTCCACCTCATAATTAATGTGAGAGGGATTGGAAGCCCCCGTCCAGCGGAGACGGGGGAGGAGATTGGACCAGCCGATGGCCACTGTTGGGTACAAGGCATGCAAGCTTTCTATATCTGCCCTTGCAGCAAGGGTCAGGGCAATGCCTTTTTGTTCGACTAGATCATTCTCCCCCAGGTGTAAAATCAAGACTTACTAAATATGGGCATCAAGCCCGACTAACGCATGCCCCGGTGGCCCATCCAATAAATGCGTACCTCGGGGTGAATGTTAAGGTTATGACCCCCATTGTGCGACCAGGCATGCTCCGCCGCCCAATGGACAATGCTGTGCCCCACAACCCAGATCTTCGTGGTGGGTAAACCTGTAAGAAAGTTAAATTGCAAGTGTTGAGGAGGAGGAGCCAGGATGAATGTAGCTTTTATATGCTGCCAAGCGCCAGTGCCCCAGTGTATTGATGCAGGCTGGGTCCCAACCCTGGAGTGCCACTGAAGTGGCAACCCCGATACGGAAGTAGTGCCCAGAATATACTTGGGGGTCAGCTCCACAGGCCGCTATGACTTTGCGCAAGACTGCAGTGAATTGGGATCGCGACAAAGGGCGCGTGTTTGCGTGTATGAAGAAAGGGCCCTTGCACTTAGGCCGGACCCTGAAGAAGCAGCGTGTGTCCTGATAGGGGCAGGGCCCCTCCTGTTCCGTCGGAGGAGGTGCCAATGTGACTCCTTTTCTCAATTGATCCGTTTTTGATGACCGAATTCTGACATTCACAGTATCCCCCGAGAACTTAATGTCCGTATCCGCCAACCCTGATTGAGGGGCCCCGGCCGCCAAACACTCCCCAATGCGCATGGCACCAAAGAAGGCTAGGGAGAATGCTGCTCCAAAGAGACGTGTTTCGAAATTTGACCAGCAGATCTCTGGTAATTTCCCCCCAAATTAGTTTGAGTGTGTCGATAGTGATGGGCTTCCTGCCATCCTGACGTGGGGGAATGATGCGACGCCACCCAGCCAGCAGCTTCTTGATGTGGAAGCTGTCACAGGGGTCCAGCCAACAAAGGAATTTACAAAAGAAGGAGATAGCTGCCCTGTAAAGCATTAAAGTTTTAATGGCAAGGCCCTTGCGCCTTTAGGAGAACCAGGAATTCAAGCACCTCCTCCTCGGAAGCGCGCCGTGTTATGGAGCCATGAAAATGCCCAAAGGCATCCCAGGCCCTGGAATAAGAACGTCTAGTGGAGGGTGCAATTGCTGACAATGCTCCCTGGTTTACTTCTCACTTCCAATCTCCCACAGATCGTCTGGGAAGGCGTCCGGGGTCTGGGCTGCCTCTGGTGCCAGCTCGCGGAAACGCTCCATCTGGAAATGAGATAATGCATCAGCAATGTTTTTGTTAAGACCTGGTATGAAATGGGCTGTGAAGGAAATATTGTGCCGCAAGCACTCCAGCACGAACAGGCACAGCACCCTTAGCACCCTATCGGACTTTGCCGACTGCCTGGATATAACTCTTAGTACCGCTTGATTGTCAGACCAGAAACAGACCCTGGAATTCGAGAAGAGGGTTCCCCAGATGCGAATGGCAACTAGAATAGGGAAAAACCCAAGGAAAGGTAAATCGCAAGTGATGCCTGCTACGCGCCAAGAGGATGGCCACAGTTCGGCACACCAATGGCCCTTGAAGAACACGCCAAAAGCATAGCGGCCAGAAGCATCAGAATGGACCTGGAACTCCACCCCAGGATTGAGGTTTCTCTGCCAAAATGAGACCCCATTATAATCTTGGAAGAATGCAAGCCAAAAAAGAGAGAGAAAGAAAAGAAAAGAAAAGAAAAGAAAAGAAAAGAAAAGAAAAGAGGAGACTTCCGGGGGGCGGCGCGAACGGCAATGGCGGTCCTCTTCTGACGGGAGAGGAGGCTCCGCAGACATCGGGTCGTCCGCTACGGCGAAGCGGAGACCCATTTTGGAAAACCCCAGGCAGCAAGAGCCTGGGGTCTTGAGGCTCGGTGGGCGCCTTTAGCAACCCTCCAAACGCAGAAGGAACCTCGTAAGGGGCTCCGGAGCGTGGAGGGGGGTTGCGGCGCTGAGAGCTGCTTCACAGTCTGCGGAGTGAAGCCGCGCTGCTGCTGCCGGTGAGCGCTGACCCCTTTTCCTGTTAAAATTCGGATTCGGATGAAAAGCAACTTACTCGTGAGTAAAGACTGAATCACTTTAAATTAGAGACTTTAAATGAAAAACTTTAATTTGGCTTGAACTTGGCTTGAACTTGGCTGAAAGCGGAGAGACGTGGAAACAGGAAGTCCGTCTTCCGCAGCCATTGAACTTAAAAAAGCAACTAAGGTGGAGGAGTGGAGGCTGAAAGAAAGAGATTTTAAACTCTACAGAGCCAAGCATCTATTGAACTTATAACTTAAAGTAAAGACATTAAGCTGAAGATTTGGAACTTTTATTTGCACTTGACTTTCCCCCTTTTATTGGATTACAAATCAGAAGGTGAAACCCAGAGTCAGGAGCTGCCTGAGCATTGAGAGAGTGAGCTGTCAGTGTTGATTTGGATACTGTATATTGGAACTTGCAACAATCTGAGGGTACTGAGACTTTTTAAATTTGAAACATTCTTTTTGGAGACAAATAAGCACTGTCTGTAACAAAGTGATTACTTATAAACTCTGCTAAATATTTATATTTGAAGGTTCTTGGACATTAAATCAGACTCTGAAAGACATTTTAAGCTCCCTCTAGAGGATTGGATTAAAACAGTGACTTTACAAGTATATTTACTTTCGATTCCCTTGTTGTTTGCTTGCTCTGGGCCTTTCTATTCCCGTGGGAAAAACTCAGTGTGACCTTGACTGATAGACAACGTTGGAATGAGTGGCACAAGAAAAAGAGGGAGAGCTAGACAAACAACTTTAACAACTCTAACCTCAGCCTCGCAGACACGCAGATCATCTGTACCTACTTTGCCCTCAGAAGTACAACTTGAAGAAGTTGCCTTGCCACAGGCAAAAGAGGGAGAGGGTGAAGCAGAGCAGTTACAATTGGAAGATATGGCCTCAGGAGTATCTGTTTCTGTTCTAGAAAAAATTTTTGAAAAATTGGAAGCTTTGGACAAGAAAGTAGATGCGCAATCAGCTAAGATTGATAAAAATACAGAATGTCTAAATAAATTAACCATACAAGTGGTACAGAATACACAAGCAATTGGACAGTTAACGGAGGCCTCAGCAGAAAATCGGAAATTGGCTGAGGATACCAGACAAAAATTGGAAAATTTAGAGCAAGAGGTAAGACCACTCACTAAACAAGTTGGGGAACATCAGACTTATCTTTCTATGATAGAACTGCGAAATCGTGAGAATAATCTGAGGATTAGATCACTACAAGAGGCAGAAGAAGGAAATTTAACTGAGTTTTTGACCAAAGAATTTTCCAAGTTCTGGAATTTGGAAGAAAAGGATTTTAAAATTGTGTCAGCTTTCAGACTTGGAAGATTCATAAAGAAGGAGAGGCCCAGAGACTGTTTGATTACATTGAGATCGAAGGAGGAAAGGGATAAGATTTTGGGCCTACATTACGGAAAGTCACTGGAGGTTTTGGATAGAAGAATTGAGATCTATAAAGATATTCCAAGACAACTGTTGGATCTTAGAGCCGCCTATTCTGAGCTTGCTAAACTACTAAGGAGCAACGCAATTCCATTTAGGTGGGAATTTCCCCAAGGAATATCTTTTACCTTTAGAGGGAGAAAGGTCAAAGTTAGAACATTGGAAGAGAGAGACAAATTTTTGGCTACATACGGAGAGGACCTACAAAAGGAATTGAATTACCTTCTGGGCCTGGGGCAAAGCCAGCATTAACACCAGCACCTGGGGAACTTGAAGATCCAGAGAAGATACCACCCCGGGAGAAATAACCAGATAGATCCAGGATGTCTCTGCAATTGTTGAGTTGGAACATTAATGGTTGTAACATTCCGGAAAAAAGGAAGAAAATATTTCATATATTAAAAAAGAACAATTGGACATTATCTGTTTACAAGAAACACATGTGACGAGGCTCCACAGAAAAGTGTTAATAAATAAAAGATTAGGCCAGGAATTTGTTTCGTCGGATAAAGTGAAGAAGAGAGGCGTGGTGATATATGCAAAAGAGAGCCTGTCACCTAAATTCCTATTTAAAGATGAACATGGAAGAATTTTGGCTATTGAGATACAATATCAAGGAGAGAAACTGTTGATACTAGGAATCTATGCACCTAATGAAGGGAAATCGGAATTTTACAAGAAGTTGCAGGGGACAATGCTGGACTATCTGGATTACAACAACATCATAACGATGGGAGATATGAACGGGGTCGTATCAACCAACATGGACAAGTCACAAAGTCAAAATGTTACAAAAGACGGCAGACTACCTAAAACCTTTTTGAAATGACTGACAATATGGATTTGATCGACATTTGGAGGACAAAGAACCCACTAGGTAGAGAAGGAACATTCTTTTCTGAAGCCCAACTGACCTGGACAAGAATCGACCAAATATGGATTTCTAGAGGCCTGGCACCTAGGGTCAGAAAAGTGGAAATCTGCCCAAAGACCTGTTCTGACCACAATGCAGTAAAGATGGATATGACACTACTACCAACTGGATCCTTTAGATGGAAGATGAATGACAATTTGTTTAGAGATCAGGAAATTACCAAGAAGGCCCAAAAAGTTTTGAAGGACTATTTTGAGATAAATATGAATAATTCGGTGGAAAAAAGAATCGTCTGGGACGCAAGCAAAGCTGTAATGAGGGGATTCTTGATACAACAGAATGTAGTAAGGAAAAAAACACAAAATGAGAAAAAGATAAGATCTTGGATAAAATAAAAGAATTAGAGAAGAAATTAAGAGTGAATCCAAAGTCACAGCCAACTCTGAGAGAAATTAAACTTTATCAAACACAATATTCTAAATTGATAAATCAGGAAATTGAATGGAAGGTTAAATTAATGAAACATAAACACGTTTGAGTCGGCGAATAAATGTGGAAAACTGCTAGCTTGGCAGTTGAAGAGAAGACAAAGATTAAACACGGTTACAAACTTAGAGGTTGATGGAAAAAACATTCAGAATCCAGTGGATATTAGAAAGTGTTTCCAGAGATATTTTAAAAATTATACACCCAAGGGCCGCAAGACGAAGTTGAGATTAAACAATTTTTGGCATAAATGGATTATCTAAATTGTCACAAGAAAACAGGACAATCCTGAACTCTAAAATAACACGACAGGAGATTGAACAAGCTATTCAGAACATGCAACTTGGCAAATCTCCAGGGCCAGATGGGCTGACCTCCAAGTATTATAAGACATTAAAAGACTATTTGATACAACCCTTGATGGAGGTCAGCAATGAAATTATGGAGGGGAAGAGGGCACCGGATTCGTGGAAGGAAGCGTTCATCACATTAATACCAAAGTCAGAAGCTGAAAAGACACAACTGAAGAACTACCGTCCCATCTCTCTTTTAAATGTGGATTACAAAATATTTGCAGATATTTTGGCAAGTAGATTCAAAAAAGTTTTAAATGAAGTAATTCATAAGGACCAGGCCGGTTTTCTCCCAGGTAGACATCTGTTTGCTAACACAAGGAACATTATTGACATCTTGGAACTTCTGCAAACAGATATAAATACAAAAGCAGTTTTAATTTTCATAGATGCGGAGAAGGCCTTTGACAATATTTCCTGGAAATTTATGATGGGAAATTTAAAAGAGATGGGAGTGGGACGGGGTTTTGAGAATGGGATTGAGGCGATATATTCAGAACAGAAAGCTAAACTGATAGTTAATAATGTGGTCACAGAAGAGTTCAAAATTGAAAAAGGGACACGACAAGGTTGCCCTATCTCCCCTTTGTTATTTATTTCGGTTCTGGAAGTGCTACTGAACATGATTAGAGGGGATCGGTTGGTGGAAGGAATTCAGGTTGGTCAGAAACAATATAAACTAAAAGCTTTTGCAGATGACCTGGTTTTGACCCTGCAGAAGCCAGAGCCCAGTACGAAAAGAGTATTACAATTGATTAATGACTTTGGTCGGGTGGCGGGATTTAAATTAAATAAACAGAAAACTAAGGTTTTGGGGAAAAATTTGACTGATACAGAGTCAGAACGGTTTCAGAATGAGACGGAACTTAATGTGGTTAAAAAGTAAAATACCTAGGGGTAAACATAACAGCAAAAACCTAAGTCTATTTAAGGATAACTATGAAAAATGTTGGACAGAAATTAAGAGAGACTTAGACAGTTGGTCAAAATTGAAACTTTCTTTGTTAGGCCGAATTGCTGCTATTAAGATGAATGTATTGCCAAGGATGTTGTTTTTATTTCAAACACTTCAGGTTTTGGACAAAACGGAGTGCTTTCAGAAGTGGCAGAGAGATATTTCGAAGTTTGTCTGGCAGGGCAAAAAGCCCAGAATCAAGTTTAAGATATTAACTGATGCAAAACAAAGAGGGGCTTTGCCCTGCCGGACTTAAAGTTGTATTATGAAGCCGCAGCGTTCTGCTGGCTAAAAGACTGGCTACTTCTTGAAGACACTGATGTGTTGGATTTGGAAGGGTTTAATAATGTTTTTGGATGGCATGCATATTTATGGTATGACAAAGTTAAAGCAAATAAGGCCTTCAAGAACCATATTGTCAGAAAATCATTGTTTAATGTCTGGACAAAATATAAAGACTTGCTGGAAAATAAAACACCAAGGTGGCTTTCACCTTTGGAAGCTAAGGCCCGAAAAAGACCCAATATGGAGGCTAAATGGCCAAAATATTGGGAAATACTAGAAAATAAGGAGACAATTGGAAATTGCAGAGTTTGGAGAAAATGAAAGACAAAGTGCGAGATTGGTTACATTACGCTCAGATTAAAGAAGTTTTTAAAAATGATAAGAAACTAGGGTTCCAGGTGGAGAAATCGAAATTAGAAACAGAATTGTTAGAACCAAAGATTAAGGTACTTTCAAGGATGTATAACTTGCTGTTGGAATGGAATACACAAGATGAAATGGTTAAATCGGCTATGATAAGGTGGGCACAGGACATTGGGTATAATATTATGTTTGAGGACTGGGAAAGGTTGTGGAGTAATGGATTGAAATTTACTGCATGTAACGCTCTGAAAGAAAATGTAATGAAAATGATTTATAGATGGTATATGACCCCAGTTAAACTTGCAAAAATTTACCACCTGTCTGATAATAAGTGTTGGAAATGTAAAGAGTGTGAGGGAACGTTCTTCCACCTCTGGTGGACCTGCCCTAAAGTGAAGGCGTTCTGGGAAATGATTTATAATGAATTGAAAAAGGTATTTAAATATACCTTCACCAAGAAACCAGAGGCTTTCCTTTTGGGTATTGTCAGCCAAGGGGTGGCAAAGAAGGACCAGACAATTTTTATGTATGCAACAACAGCAGCAAGGATACTTCTTGCAAAACATTGGAAAACTCAAGATTTACCCACACTGGAAGAATGGCAGATGCAACTGATAGACTACATGGAACTGGCTGAAATGACCGGCAGAATTCGTGACCTGGGAGAAGAGAGAATCGAGGAGGATTGGAAGAAATTTAAGAACTATCTACAAAAATATTGTGATTTGAGTGAATGCTAAATAAGATGCTAGACTAAATAACTGAGCACCACTTAACTTAGAAGTTTTTAAGAAAATAAGTAAGACTGTGAAAGTTTAACTCTCTATGAGAACCATAAGATTATGAAATATTGAAGAGATATAAGAATTTAAATAAGATGATAAATTGCTGACAAAATGTTATAACGATGAAAGTGGGAGCGGGAGATGTGAGGAAGTCCAAAGAAAATGTGAAACTATGTTAAGACAAATGTTATATTGTTTACTATGTTTATTCTTACTGTAAAACCCAATAAATTGCTTTAAAAAAAAAAGAAAAGAAAAGAAAAGAAAAGAAAAGAAAAGAAAGCCAAGTCTTCAAATCATCCTTTATCTGCTTTGTCACCCCGATGCTATGGTGGGGGGCACAGAAAGCATGACCTGGCACAACTACCCTACATGCAAAATTGAGATGGCCCATTAGGGACTGAACCTGGTGAAGTGTAGTCTTTTTAACCCCCAGCATTGTTTCCAGCAAGGCTTTTAAGGATTCGAGTTTGGACTGCGGGAGGCGTGATGATTGCTGATGTGTGTCCAGTTCAATACCCAAGTAGGAAAGGACCGTAGAAGGGCCCTCGGTCTTGTCGGCAGCCAAAGGTATGCCAAAGTCCGCCGCAAGACACATGAAAGTAGCTAAGGATAGGGCGCAGGAGGGGGAATCACAGGCCCCATGATCAAAATGTCATCTAAATAATGGGTCATGTAAGGGGAACCATTTTGATGGCCCATTCAATAAATATGCTAAAGGTTTCGAAGGCCGCGCAGGCCACAGAGCAACCCATAGGCGTAGCCTTATCAAAATACCAACTCTCCCTGAGTTTAAGAGTCAAAAGTCCTCAGGATGATCTGGGAGCAGTCGAAAGGCTGACTTGATGTCACTTTTTGCCAATCAGGCCCCTGGGCCTAAATCCCTAATCGTTCTGATGGCCACGTCCAAGGACACATATTTTACAGAACAGTGCTCACGTGGTATGGCATCATTCACAGACCCACCCCTAGGATATGACAGATTGTGTATCATACGGAACTCACTGGGAAGTTTTTTGGGCACTATGCCAAGTGGGGAAACTATAATTTTTTTGAAAAGGGGGGCAGGGAAAGGGCTGGGTACTAAACACCTAAATGCCGCTCTTTTTCAATTTTGTTAAATGCAAC